CATTCTTTTTGAAAGTTGTGAGACAATCCCTTATTTGTTAATTCATTCCCCTCTATTTGTAGGTTAAACTTCTTGACATGCTGGCTTTCTTCCTTCAACCGGAAATCACCCCCACCACCTTTGTATTGACATCTGAACGTCGCATCGAGATTGTTGAAGCAGTTAAGCTTCTTCTCGCCTCTAATCTTCCCTTGGATCCTCAGGAGTTTGCTCATTCCACCAAATTGAGTGAATGCGGAACTCTCCTGCGATCAGTGAGTTTGACCCATTCTAAGATTATTGCTGCGCTTGCTTTCTCATGACAACAAACCTCTTCTCTAACTTTGGCCACACATTTCACTTCCTCCACTCTCAGTGATGTTTGGCAACGGACAAATTTCCTACCACTTTAAAATCGCTCATTGTAGTTGAAGAAGTAGTTGGTGATGTGGTATTGTAGGGAAGCAGAACAGAGCAGGGTTTGAAAGGCTGTCGAATTTCTGACACTCATTGAACAACACCTGATCGTTAAATTTTCCAGTCATTTGTGACGTTTTGTTGGCACTTTTGTAAATAAAAAATATCTGACCATTTTGTTCATATGGGAATGGGTGGTACCGTAGACAAACATCACGGCACAGGGTCAGTTGGCTTTTATTGAACAGGTTTTCATTTCTATCCTTCAACCTGCCGTCATGATGAGTGTCACGACGCAGTACTGCCTGGGAAGTAGACACAGACTGTGAATGCGTTTCCTGTAATTCCATCAACTACTTCCGATTCAGCACACTCCGTCAATCTTCCATTGTAACCGATTTTCAGGTTCTCTCTCTTCTAAAAACAGTCAGCTGTCTCGAAGCTATTCAGATCCTAACAACGCCATTCTGTCGTTATGACGAACACTTCATGGACGAAGATTTGTATGAGTCTCTACAGTGTGCAATGAAACGGTAAGTATTGACACTATCCGTTGTAGTCTACTTGGTGCATTACTTTTAGAATATGGACGCGGCCTCTGGTCCAGGAGAGGCTGCTGACCTCAGCACTGGAGGTCTTTGAACAGGCTGTCATATCCAGACAACCATCGATAGCCTTCATCAACCTCTGGCATCGCTACTTCTACAAGTTCATCCAACCGCTTCTCCTTTGCGTGGGTTTAGTTGCCCTGGAGCGCATAGGTGTACGAAATATTGCTAAATGGGTCCAAACTTTGGAGACTGGATTCCAAGGAGATGGGCTGACAGTGACGCACTGGATGTGGCGGCTATTAAATTGTAGTTCCACCTTTTATCTCCTTGTAGTGCTCTACAACCGCCTTCCGAAGGCCTGTCTCCATGGTATGAGTGGCGGCGGTGTTGGGTCTATTCTGAAAGCCTTTCTTGGACCGGTAATGTTGGATCCTCTTCAAAAGATGCAAATACAAGGAAAGGAACTGACGGCCACACTCATACGGTACGCCATTGGACTTTATGTATTCGCCTTCAAAAGTTTACCGTATCCTAATTGTCAAAGGATCCGTAACAGAATAATTTCAAAATTTAAGGCCTTAAAGTACTTTTATCGAGTTGTTTGTCGACCATTCGTCTTTGCATACAAAGCTGATTGGTATTTGCACACAATTACAATACCTTTTTTCCATCCACTCAGAGTTTATGAAAGAGGTGAAAAATGTGGTGCTTGGTGCTTTTATATACACTTCAGAAGGGCTTATGCGACTCTCAAAGATGCACTTGAACCACCATCAAACACTTCATTGACCCATGACCTCGAAGTCACCGCCTCAATTTTGAGACGTTCTCTGTGGTCTGCCAGTCTGGCGTGCCTTGTCGCCACTGTAAGTGCTACTCAGACGCAGGAGAAGGCCTTCAACTGCGTGATTGCTTGCGATCCCCTCTCACGCTTTCTTCCAACAGACAAAAATTTTAAATTTCCCAGGCGGGTAAGTTCTGATTTTCCTTTCCCTTCTACTTTTCTGTTATTAACTAATGTGTTTCGTATTGAGTAAACTTCATTTATTTAAGCGGTCAGGTAAGTATCGGTCGGCATTCATTGAGTTGCGGGAGGAATTTTGGCTACCATCGCAACGAGAACCCTACCTGCGGATCCAGCCGACGAAATATGTCGGAAAGGCAGCAGCTTTCGGAGTTCCAAATCGGGGTGAGCTTCTCCAGGGTAGCAGCTTTACCGC